TGATAATACAAAGTTGTAAGCTACACATTTTCTCTTAAGGGAACGCGAATGTTGCGGGGTTTGGACCACCAGACCGTTTCGTGAGAAAAAATGGCATCAAGTAGGTTGATTCTGTCACCAGTTCGTGAACGATTATGTTTGGACTTTCTGAGGAGGACTTGCAGCAGGCGCACATGATCATTGTGATGGCCAATACCGTGTGAATGACGATTTTGATCTTCACCATGCACAGTGCACACAGCCCAGCGCACAGCACCACAACTGTGCGGAAGGCATTGCCGACTGTGACGTACGGCCACCGATGACGACGCTTGTCCTTCCCGGGGACCACGTCGTACATATCGACACCCGACTGTAGGAGGTTTAATGGTAAATGTAGTGGGACATGTTGAGTGCGATACGTCTAATAGGTGAGTTTAATTACTGGGAGTGGAGGCATATATATATATATATATATATATATATATATCAACGTCAAAAAATTAAGATATCCCCAAAAATTTCACCAAAATCCGAACGGTACTTTACAAGTTAAAGGCGGTTATAAGATTAGCGGGCAGACCCACAGACATGGTTTTCCGTGATATGTATGTCATATAACATCCATAAACATAAACCCTCATTTTCGAAAATTTTTGTGATTACAATACTTCCCCGCTAATAGATATGGGAAGTAAAATGGCGTCAAGTTGGTTGACTCTGCACTTTGCACACAACTTTGCCATTAGTTTATGAATGGTTATCCGCAGCACGAATTAGCTCCTCTTGGAAAAAACAAAAAAAAAATAATGGATTAAGTCAGCCAAACAGGTCTATACAACTAGTCCATGATTCTTATCCATTTGACAATGCTGCGATCTAGAAACTTCTCATTTGCTCTACCGATAATATCGAACTACTAGCAGCATTGCTACGACTAACTTCGCCAGTCGTCAACCACGGCAGCCACCCATTAACCAGACCACGACGTCGCAGGTATATCTAAAGGTGTGTGTGTGTTAAAAATATTTCTCTATAATTCTTAGTTTTAAGGGAAATCTGTGATATGTGAAATATGTGTAATACGGGTATTACGTATCTTGAAAAGTGACATTATGAATGGTTTTTCTACAAGATGAACTAGCTTCAGAGATAGTATTACTGGACGTAACGGCAATGCATAGGTGCATAGGGATAGTGAGGATTTGTCTCCTAATAATACTCGTATGTCTCAAATACACTTACTTGAGATTCAAGGCTAGAAATTAGTTGCACATCCACTTTTTTCTCCATTCTGGAAATTACATATGCAAATTTGCTGAATTTCAAAAATGAGAGAGATAAGAAATATTTATATTCACTGTACACTGTCGAATTACAAGTCATATACATACTAACAGTAATTATACACAGCGCGGTGGTGATTTCCCTTAATTCTCCTCAAAGTTTTTGAAAACACAAAAAACGTAAAAATCGTAACATATAACTTTGAACATAACCTGACTTCAAAAAGGACAACATATAAATAACCCGTTGGGCACAACTAAAAGATATACTTCATTGGCAGTAATGATTTTTCCACACAGCAAATATCACTGATTTTATACACATGCAAACCAATACACACAATCATCCGGATGCGATCTTGCTATTCAACCAACATTCTTCTCAGAGATGAAAACTATAGACTACTCGGCTTCACAAAACATATGCAACCAACAATGCGTGTAGTTGAGCTATTCATCAATAGATGGACGCTCAGAACGATCCTAGTGAGCAAACGTGGAATAACTGTTTGTACCCTAAAAACTACCTAGTCTGCAAGATGACATTTTATTGGTTTTTTTTTAGACGTTTTATAGATATTTTACATAATACCCGTGCGGGCCTTGAAGCGCATAAATATACGAAACCCAAAAAATTGAAATATACCCGTCCTGCATCACTACAACACCTAACTTTCAAGTTTAATTTCTACAAAAAAATCTGTATATGGTTAGATGACTGAAACATCAAAAACAAGGTTTGAAAGGTTTTTACTTACTCTGTTTTTGCCCCTCTCACTGACTGGACCGATTTTCAAAAACTACAAAGCTTTTTCGTCCTTGTCGTAGAAGTAGCCTTACAGATTTCATCAAAAGCCGCCGCTTTATTTACAGACTGACGATGGATTAGTGGACAGACAGACAGAGAGACCGACGGAACGGATTAAAATCAGATTAAAATTGTCGTGATGTACAGTCTGCGAAAATCAAAAGTTCGCCAATTTCGGTCTGACAAACAAGCTTCGAAATAAAATACTCTTCGGGATCTTGTAGTGGAAGCTTCTAGCTTTAATCTAGACACTTGAAACCCGTAAAAATAGTAATTGTAGTGTAACCGGGTTTTCAAGCATTGCGATTTTTTTCAATAGCCTGTCTGGAGGACTATCCTTGTTGTTTTTTTTTCTGTTGGGTCTGTAAGTTCTGTATTATCAATTATGATGAATTGTTCAGGTGCGCATACAACACGTGTTTTTCTTCTTCTTCTATCAATTCTAACATAGTTATTTCAAGACTTGGTTGATGGTACGTTTCATTCAGTGTGATAAGATTTCACTCTATATAAATCCTTGAAAAAAGTTTATATAGGCTCAAAGAAGAGTCATGTAGAATTCTAATAATTCACATTCAAAAAATTTGTACAATTTAGTACTCAATGAATTTAAAGAACAAACAATTTTGAATATCCAACTTAAACCCTGCTGAATAATGAGATGTAGTATAATAATACATACCTATTTCTAGAAAACTACAATTCGCCAGACAAAGGTCTGTATTCTGATACAGATTGATATAACTAGTAGGAATAAAGAGCTAGGAGCACAAGATAATGGAATTTTTCTGTATTCTTTTCGTAATTGAAACACCACCCGTTGTGTCTTGCTGACGTTTTTAATTAACAACGCTATTCAAGCATACAGCGTCTACAGGATTCAAGTAAACAGTCCAGTTCATTTTGGTTATACTTGCAGTTAGTAGGCTAAAAACTCAAGATCGTAACTTGACAATCGATTCTTTCCCATAGTCACAATAACAAGGACAAAATGTAACGTACATTGTAGAGGTCTTCAAGCTTAACTTTGATAATTTGCTTTCTCGCTGTGTTTTTGCTTGTTTTTTCATTGGAATCTAATATCATTCCGGTGTTGCTTGTACCTAAGTATCCAATTAATTACATCTTTTTTCGAAGTCGACGTAGTACCTCTTTAATTCCAGTTTCAGCATGATCTTATGGGCAAATCTTGGAAACATGATTATTATTGACCAAAACACACTCATTAATGCTGGATAAGGATTTCAGGGAGGCATTAAATAAAATAATAGCTGATAGAGAACTGATGTTTATCGTGAATGTTAGTGTTGTTCGTTCAACAACCATAACAATTGCAGAAAATGCAGATAAGGAGTGATGTCTCACAGACAGACTATAAAGGTCAAAATAAATGCCGGAACGATCAATTTTTGAAGAGAAAAATTATAACAGCAATTACTTCTACCTTTTTTGTTGCGGCACCAAATGATATAAGATCAGTCTTTTCGACATTTCAGGCATAAGACCGTAAGACGGGTGTTCTTGTGGCTCTAAATCAACAAAGCTGCTGTTCCGGGCGGAGCTAATTCTAGTTTTTTGAGTCTCCTCCAGATATCTTACGAATCAGACACTTTCTAGGCCCTTACCTCAACAGGCCTATACATTTAGTATCTATTATAAATGAAGGGCTGAACTCTGTCGGTGAGCAGGAGAAAAGAAGACTGGTAGAGACATTCTCTCTGTCGAGAGACCTGCAGGTTATCACTGCGTGGGGAGGTAAAAATCTGGTACAGTTTGAAGCTTCCAAAACACAGTACTGTACCTTGACTAACAAGAAACGCCCTAGAGCTCATCCGGTTTCGATGGATGACCGAGTTCTACCAAAGGGCCACTCATTTCGGCTGGTCGGAGTCCAGATCACCGAGGACTTGATCTGGCACGAACAAATATTATCAATAGCAGCAACTGCTGCGAATAATCTAGACTATTTGCTTAGATATAAGAAGTACTTTTCTCCACATGACCTCCTCATTATGTACAAGGCCCAGATAAGACTAGCATCCAGTACTGCTCACATGTTTGAGGTGATGCCGCCCAAACTCCATTACCCAACCTACAATCTCGGCAACATTTCGCACCGACGAGCCGTCGGTGATCTAGATCTCTTCTACAGCTACGCCAACGGGCTTTGCTCCTCAGATCTCTTCTCCATGATGCCGCCACGCGATATGCCTGTAAGACAGGTCTGCCTGACTTTGGCCTCCCATCCTAACCGTGTCGAACTTTTTACATAAAGAACTGGTCAATACGGTAGCTCTTTTGTCCCTGGGGTATCCAGCTTGTGGAAGCTTTTCCCAATTCAACTAACCTTGGGCAGGCCAAAGATCGGATTAACAGTTCCTTTAATCGCCTCATAGCACCCTCAGTGCCCTGGAATTTTGGCTTATGCCTGTGCGGATGCTTCGGTATAAAAAATATGTTACTACGTGACGGATCCGATCTCAATATGACTTTATAGTGGACTTTAAGACACATTGATACACTTCCTTGCATCCGTGAGGGAGGTTTAGTATAATTATATATTTAGTATATATCCATTTCTTCAAATTTTGAGGCATTTAAGTTTGTTTTTAATTTGGTAATATGGTAGATATGAAACTTGTTCCCGATTGGTGTAAGTAGTTTAAGCATAGCCGCAAATTTGGTGTCCGGGCTGAAATGAAAAAAACAGGTTTTTGTAGCTAAACCAGGTGATTTATGAAGTATTTCTCGATTTGATCTTTCCATCTTACACAAACCTTATAATGATATTGAATTTTAATGTGATTGGTCACATTTGTGCCATATGCGGAAATTTAGATTCTCGAGGGTCAATAGTAAAATCGGGCCTATATCAATAGATGAAAGATCTGCCAATCTAAACAAATCACTCCAAAACCTGTTGACTTACCTTATAAAGGAGACAAAATTAGCAAGGCCGCCGTTTGTGACGAATCGACGACGAGTTGGTGATCAATTGATGCAGAGTAGTCGCAGTCGTGATAGAACTTAACGAGATAGCTAGGGGAACCTGCAAATTGAAAGAAACGGCATTGTCAAAGCAGCGTGTGAACGTGAAAATTGTCAGGCGGTTATTTACACAAAAAATCGAAAGAGTGCGGCAAATGACTGGAGGGTGGTGAATGGAAAAAATTGATTGTGTTTGTTCGTTAAGAGATATGAGTTGCTGCTTGCTACCAGAAACTCTGTCGATATGAACCTGGTTATATTGAATTGATATCATACATAGCCGGCATGAAGGATTAAATTGATAGTTTAGGATCTCATATAAAAAAAAATTCAGCATATTTCGATAAACTTGACAGTTCTGCACACGCCGCCATTCACAATCGCGAGTTTCTGACGCTGTGTCTTCATCCTCGGCATACTTGTTTTAAGGTAGGGCATTGAGGTTAAGAATGAATAATTTGAATTTCTAATTCCCAAATCAATTTTTATACTAAGCCAAACCCTGTAATCTCACGCCTAGGGTTCTAAAAGCTAATCAGCTAGTTGTCAACTCAAAGGTTTAACAAGTAACTTCTATTTTCATAGCTATAAATGACACTTCTCGCGGGTGATTTTTTCATCTTTAAGGAGTTCTCAGCCTCATGTTTGTCTCGCCGAATAAAAGCACACTTCTGAAGTGTCGGTTGTACTAGAAAAATGTCACCTTTGTTACCGAAACGTCGTTCAATAATGATCAATTTTATGTATATAAAATATGTGGTTTAATTCGATCAGAGAATCACGGGAGGCTATCAGCATGAAAAATATAGGATAAGTTTCAGATGTTTTAATAACGAAGGTCAAACTATTGATGTAATAGAGTTATCCTTATCGCTGTTTCTATGTACACCGCGAGTTAAACTTTTTTATATTCAGAGTGGTTGTTAATAAGGATCTGGACTTGTTTGGTAGATTTATTTTGAATTTGCCCTTGAAGTCATCTTCAAATGCGCTCTTAGTGGCTAACTTGATCTCTGATTAGAAAAAGCGAGTGGCTGGGCTCAATTGCCTTCATAGCGACAAACTATTCCTGGATTTGAAGTCAGCGACACAAAAATACCATGTAATTTTTAGTCAGTATTTCGGTGTTTTGAACCAATATGTGTTCTATTAGCAGCCGAAACGGATGCGCGTTTAATGATGCGCGAGCCCCTTCATATCGCCAAGAATTGCGTTGATATGTCACTTCTATTTTCCGACAAATCTATCTTGCGTCCTGAAATGCAGAGGGAACTAAACGGACAGATTGAAGTGACTATTGGAAAGAAATATCAACAACTAGTATAAGTATAAAGTACAACCGTCCCTACCACCAACCTCGCACTGTCTACGACGTATCTGACATTATCAGGCCAAACTGATTTTATCCGAAAGCACTTTAAGTTAGTGTTACCACCAAATATAGCTTCATCAATCGATCAGAACAATGAAGATGAATTACCTGTCGCTCACCCACTATATTATCCCCTTTCCCCCCGCCTCTGTCTATTCCCTCTTCCAGTAACCACTTCCGTTAAAAGCGCAAAACGAGGAAAAAAACCCTAAGTTGTCACGTTCGTCATCTTGACACCATTCTCGGTGTCCTGCTACTGCCTTCCCTTAGGGACGCCGTCGGGACAGGACGGGATAACAACCACCCACCTATCGACTCTTTGATCGTGAAATATTCATTCGATCTTAGGGCAAGATTGTTATCATCATTCAGTGCGATTGGGACAGTATTTCACCCAATGGGGTTACCGAAGTTCTCACTCAAAGTGGTAAAACCTCGTGTGGATGGATTAGTCGTATTAGCGCCAATACATACATGTGGAATGTACGCGTTCGTCAATTGAGACGCTCGAACCGCAATTGGCGAAAAATAACAGCTTGAAGGGATTAGTAGACTGGAGGTAAACTGAAACTTTTGGCACGGGGGAGCGGAGCGTTAAGTAAATAAATTTAGAAAAGAATAGAAGAACAGCGTGCGGTCAATCAAGGCACAGGCTCCTCTTACCTATGTGATGTCTACTGCAGGCTTGGAAGTCCTGTGACAGTAGATGGTGGCCTTGAAGGCGTTCAAACCCTTGGAGTTTAGCCCCACAAAAAATAAAGACCCAGGTCCATGATATTCCTCTGCACTTTTCGACGTTCAATCAGGATCTGAGATGATTCCTAGATGTCTGGAGTTCACCTGTGGTCAAGAAGATCCCACCAGCCCTAGATGTCACTCCCGCGCCCAAAAACTACCCATTGGAGAGTTGAAAATTGATTTTCGGATGCCAGATGCTCAACCACGGCATTCCTATTATATTGTTCACCGCTGAATCGAAATTTGAGGTAAAAAAATACAGCTCCCTGACTCCCTGGAAACAACCCGCGGCGTTAAAACTTCCCGTAATGACGGGGGGAGTTTCGAGTGATGGATACTGAACCGGAGTATGGTTGGACGCGTATCTCGGCAGTCTGGTGCATTTTTTCTGTTGAACCCTAACGCCCGTTAGTCCTGACAAAACGGGAGTTGAGCCATAAGAGAGATGATTTGGAAAAAATCGACTATATTCATTAGATCCATTATTAGAAATATCCCTTCTCATTGGTCCATTTTGATCCCGGTTAGTAAGATCGGGACTACGAAATCCAATTAAACTAATTCGCGATTCCTCAAAGCTAGATGAGGACAATATTCTAATTCATCGCAGATAAAATCATTGCTGTACCTCTTTACCTGACAGAAAATGTAAAAAAATGACGTGTGATTGTCAGTCCGTTACGCGTGGATTTGCTCATCAGCTGAGTGAAAAGATGACATCATGGAGACCGGTATCTACCGCTTGTCTTTTGTCACTTTTTCGGAAAAATTACATTAGCTTCATTTGATATACATACCAAGTAATTACTCGAATATTCACTTCTTGGTTTACATCACAGACGCAAAGCAAATGGAATGAAATATGAAAGCCCCGTCTGAATTTCATGTCCTCTTTTAATAAGCTCCTTCTACGATTATTACCAACATGCAGGAATAAAAACGGAGGAATATTCTCTAATGAAAGCGTCCTAGCGTTCTGAGAGGTTATACGTTTTTATTGCTGCTATTCAATTAGGTCTTCCTTTAATGTCCTGTAGTTTGTAGGGATGTAAATATGATGTGAAATGGAAACGCAAAGACGTTATAAAAGAAATACGGAGCTTGGAACCTCAGCGCAAACGCTGAATATGTGAAGGCTACCTTCTGTCTACTCTGGGTTATTTGTCTGCTATTCTTATAATTATATACTCAGTGTTACACCCAGAAAAAGTAATTTCTCAACTTGTTTTTTTTTTGGAAACTTATTTACTATATTGTAGCGTCTTTCTGGGTTCTTTTGGGTGTGGATTGAAACACTAGATTCCACAAAAAGAAATACACTAATTTATTTTACTTGACTAGATAGAACATTTATGTACACCCCTATTTATGATTCTTATGTCGCGCTATTGACTGCACTATACTCCACTCTGCTCTACTCAACTATACTCTGTAGTCGCTGCTTCGAGAAAGGTCTGGCGAGCCACAAAGCGGAGTCTAGAATATCCGAGGTCACTTCGCGTCGATCTAGAAGGCGAGTCACTGGTACGGTCCTTAACAGTTGTCGCCAAGCGGCTTGTGCGGTCGTGATCCGCATAAAAGCAGAGACCGGCCATGAAGCTCTAGCGAGTAGGAGTCTCCCAGCAAATGGCGCCAACAGTACGATTTGTTATCGTCACACTATTTAAGGCATGCTGTGGCAACCATGTCAACGTTTCATCTTTGTTTTTGTTTACCTTTGGTAAAATGTTGTCTCATAATTCTTGTGAAGAAAGCAGTTTCTGAGAGCTGAGTAGTACATATATTTTTAGTTATTGCCCTTTTATTAACTAGTGTGAAGCATAACAAAATGCCTCGAGTTTGAAGACGTCCAAATTATCACCATGTTAGCGACCTTGACGGGGGTAGAATTATTGCCTATCGAGATGTTGGTTTGTCCTATCGCGAAATTGGCCGCCGTGTTAATTTTACTGCAATCATGTTAATGCGTGTGTGTCGTGTGTGGATAGAAGAAAGAACAAGAGTGCCAACTGGTCTACGAAGGCGTAGCACAGAGCGTCAAGACAGGCGCTTCAGACAACTAGACCTAAGAAGGTCGTCATGTTACACGGCGTATACTCTGTCGCCACATTCGAGCCTTTGCGCTTTTCTCCACGGTTAGTGCTTCCTCTGACTGCGGACCACTGTCGTCAACGTCTGAACTTGGCAGAGAAAGTCAACATTGTGAGGCAAAATGGCATAATGTCATCTTCATCGACAAATCGCGATTCTGTCTAGGTAACGCACGATGGTCGTAGAAGGGTAAGACACCGCCATGGAGAATGGCGTGATATTGAATTTGCTGTTGAGAGGACTGTTGGAGTAATGGTTTGAGAGGCTATTGCCTATGGTAGCCGATCACCCTTTCTCTTTGTTTAAGACAATATGACTCCTACACGTTATGTTGATGATGTCCTGCAAACCTCACTACTGCCGTATCCAGAGAGCCGTCCACGTGTCCTTTTTCAGCAAGACAACGTACGAACTTTCTTCAAAAAGCAGGCGTTAATGGCCGTTTTCAGACCTACCGACATCGACACCGACACGATCACGACACGATGCCACAGCAAAGCGACAAATCGGCAAAACCTTCACAATAGCATCCGACATCTTACTGCTGCCGGCCGTGAGTTCAATATGGTGAAGGTTACTGAAATATATTTACTATATTTACTGTACTTGAGACGTAAACAGCAAAATAAGAAACAAAGGAAGTTATGGATACATCCCATTTTAAAGGTGAGGTATTTGCAGAGAACCTATTACACTTTATTCGAGAAGCTATGTAATAATTCAAACAAATTTTTCAACTATTTTCGGATGAGCAAAATTACATTTGATTTTATGATAAATATCTTAGCCGACCAAATAAAAAAGCAAGATACCAAATTCAGAATGGCCACAGCACCTGAAGAAATGTTCGCAGTGACAAT